ACTTTTTATTGACTTGGTTGGCTTACTTGATAGGAATTTACGGGTTCTCACAATAGATGACGATTATGGACCTTTCTAGATAGTCTAGTGGAGCGCTAGCAGTCTTGAAACCTGTAGGTGTTGGTGAACTATATGTTCACTGGTGTACTCCATCTCCTCATGGTTTCCTTACGTACGTATATGGCTGAGGACTCCCCTAGCAATAAAGTCCATCCTGATGATGATCCTTAGGCTAGGTCCCTTGTGATAGGTTGTCACACCCCGAAAACCGAAGGCGGAAATGTTTCCGGGGTTGACTCCACGTAGAGTATCAAATCCAATGTACATAGTAAGTAAAGTAAATCAACCATTACATTACATATATGAAAGTTTTACATTTGTTTCAAAAGTATAAGTTATACAAGTGATACATAGTATATATGAACAATACAAAATGAGTCTTATGAGAACTCCGTCTTCACACAAAAGGATCTTCGAGTATCTGTCTAACACGGACCTGAGAATACAAGCGGTTTGAAAATTAGCATAAAGCTGGTGAGTTCATAAGCGGTTAGTTTTTCTGAAAATGTACGAGTTCCTTTGGTTTCCTGAAAAGTGATTATCCAAGAAAATCCCATATTTTCTTATGTAAAGTTAGTTTCCAAATCCAAAGTAAAGTAAAGGATGTTTAATTAAAACATGATTGTTCTTGTGAAATGTAGTTCAATTGTTTAACTTATTACACTTCTCTAATTTTCCATTAGCCATTTCTACAGTGGCATGATAAAATAGAGTCCATCTTTGAAATCTGTATATGATAAAATAGAGTCCATCTCTGAATTGAATCAAGAGATATGATACAAAGGATATCTCTTTATGGTATACATAGAATTCTATTAAGCGATAAAGCAAGAAGGAGTTATCAAATAGTTAAATTACCTTAAGTTGTTTTGGACTTATAAAACCTAATTTTTAAAGTGGTAATGATTATAGTAAACCAATTTCAAGGTTAAAATCAAAATTTCAAGTTTGATATGGTTAATTTTATGATTCTTGAAATTATTGATATGCATGTTCATGAAGTTATGAGCTTAAATGATCATAGGAATTATTTGTAACCTTCTTGGTAGTTTAATTCTTGATCATTATGTGTCTTAATGGAGTCCATAACTTGTCCTCAAGTTATGGATAACCAAAAGTCACAAGTCATTGGATCCATTAAAAGAACACAATGGTTACATAAGATGAAAAGTCACTCTTTTTAATAAGCCATTAACTCATAAGTTATGAGACATGAATGGTTTTGGAAGTTTACAAAACTTGCTCTCAATTTTTGGAACATGTAAAGTCACAATTAAAAGTTTAGTTCTAATCTCTAGAATTTTAAAAAAGTTAAAATTCAACCATTATACTTTATAATATTATAAGTTTAATAATATTTATATATGTATAAGAGCAAAAAGTCGTCTTACCATTAGTAGGCCTCATTCACGAAGCCGATCTATAAGGGGGTATAAGGTTACTGCCTATAAAATGGCAGTTTAATAGGTGTCCACTCTCACCCACCGCTTCCTTGACCGGTGGAGGGTCGTTAGCCGAACAAGTAGGACAAGGACTATAATTCTCCCTTCATGAAAAGTATTAATGATAAATACTAAGTAACTAAACATTTATAAATTTCCAATCTTAGTTACTTAGAAAAATGTGAATAAGGTGCTAATCCATAAAATTACACTTTGCACTTTGTTTAAGCCATTAGTGGGGCGTGTGTGGTTAACCAGCACACTAACTTGGATTTAACAAGGTAGGCAAAGGGTAACTTAATATTTATCATAGTATCGGTGGAGCGTGTGTGGTTAACCGGCACATCGATTGAGGGGTAAATATTAAGGGAACCAAGTATATTTGCATGGTTACTTTACACCTTGTTTTGTGATCCTCGGCATCCCAGTCAGAAAACCTGAAGGGCACACTCGAGATTGAAACATGCCATTGAAAAGTTCAATGCATCTCAAAAGAATCTAGGAGTTTCAAAACCAATTAAAACCTATATTACATTTCGTTTATCTTGGTGGAAATTGGTGAATCGTCATTCACCTACCTTCAAATATTTTATAGCTTGGATTACGTCATCCCTCTTCCAAGTTATAAAATAGTTTGTTGGTTCCTAGCCTTAATATTTCATATTGGGTGTTATATTAAGGACTTAAATCAACTTTACTTGAATTTCTCCCATTGTTGATGTCTGGTTCAGACAACAATGATGTTCCCAAATCAAGCTTTCCTAATGAATATGACTTCCTGAGTTTGGCTCATGGAAGTCATACTTCTCTTCCTCGACTTCCTCCAATTATTCTCCCTGACCCACAAGTTTAAGGACTTGAAAAGGGGCATTGGAAGACCTATGTGCACTCATGACTTAGGACTGAAGTCACACAGTAACAAGTTGAGAATGTTGGGTGTCGTTGTCCCAAGGAAGTTGGCTATTGACTGGGTCTTTCAGTCACTTCCTAAGTTATATAAAAAGACTACTATGTGACAGATCACGACATGACCCTAATGGATCTTTCTTATTTTCTTATTACTGTTGAATCGGAAATGATTTGGTATAATAGTCAAGAAAATATGGATGGAAGGTCTATTTCTCAAACCTTCCATGGATATGGACAATAGTGACATTGGAAGTTCAGAAAAATTTTCTCTTCCCAATGGAAAGGGATCGACCTTGGTCAACCCAGTTGATCGGAAGGTAAAGAGAAAGTCTAAGTCTGGAATAACCTATGTACCATTCCTAAAGAGTCTATATGTTCTTAGTGTGAATAAAAGGGGCATTGGAAGCGAAGTTGTCCAAGCTACCTGAAAGAAAGAAGAATCAAAAGTTTCACTCTGTTTCAGGCAAGTCGACTATCTAACTCTGTTAAGTTCCTAGTTGATGATTCTTAATACCAAAATGTGACTTGGTTGCATTTTGATATTTAGTAGGATCAAGCAAAGGGAAGGAAACTTATAGAAATAGTATGCTAAATTTGATCGTGAAGATGGATTTCTTTTGCTTGGTTGAAGATTTAATTCCTGAGCTACTTCTTAGGAGTTATGATGGATTTCTAGGAAACATGTAATATCATAGTTTTCATTTCAAGTTACATTGTAAGGAAAAAGTTTTTCCCAGATTTTAAAATAAATAAAAGTTTGTTTTACTTTATTTTATCTCTTTACAATGGCATTCACGAAAATATGATGTTTGTACGTTTATAGCAATATTGAAAATATGAATTTGATTCTTTCATTTGTGGTAGTGTCTAAATTTACCTAATAAGCAAATATTCTCATCACCCAAGTTTCAATTGGACCGAAATTTGGAATCATACAAGGTGTTTAGTGTGATATATTGGGATTTTTCAACTTTGGAAAATTAAGACTAGTTCCGTGTTCACATGTATATGTGACTCAAGAGAAGGACTAAGGGATCAAGTACACATTCTTGTGCGCTAGCCAAAGTTCACCACAAAAGATGGATAAGACTATTCGCCATGATTTACTAAAGTTTGTTAAATATGATTATACTTACAAGATAAAGTATAATTTTGAGACATTGAAAAGTTTCAATGTATGATAGAACGAATAAGAAGAATCAAATTAGGCAGAAGGATAAAAGTTTCTAAAGTCTGAAAAGATGGGAGAGTACTTTAGTATCATGTTTTAAGATCATCTTAATGATTTTGATACCTTATCACAATTCATCCTCTAAGTGCATTCTGATAGTTAAGAAGAGGAGATATGAGTTGTTGAAGTGGTTAAATCAAGAAGATGATTCATACTTCGTTCCAAAAACAATTCTTAGAGTTATACTCTAAGATTGTAACATGAATGAGATGTCTTAAAGAAGGTTTAAAACACTTGTCAAATGTAATCACTACTAGAAAATAGACCTTTAATGACGTGCTTTTTACCACACGCGTTGATTAATGATACACAAAAGGATGCGCCCTTAAAATAGTGTCATCTCTCCAAAAAATTTAAGGATATATGTCACGCATTATTGCGTGCCCTTAATTTAGTGTCTCAAGAAAAAAAATTAAAAACACGGAGGGCGCTTTATCTTAAACGCGCATCGTCTGTACCTGTCGCTTTATAATTTTAATGAAACGCGCTTTTATTTAATGAAGGGGGAAACGAAATCCCCAAAATTTTGAAAACCCGCCTTGTTTTTTTTTTATCTTCTATCTACTTTTCATCCTTGCAATCCACTCTCCCCTCTCAGATACCCTCTCTTCTAGATCTCCCTTCATTCTCTACCTCCCATCTCTCTGTAAACCTCCAAGGTGAATCGTAATTGAACTGCAAGGTCTCCTTCTTTTTCTTTGTTTTCTCAGGTCGGACATCATCCCAATCCATTACCCCTTTGATTTTTCATTAAAAAACCCTAATTGATTTGGCAAGTTCATGAACCAAATGTAGCACATTCCAAATTGGGGATTTAACCAAACCCGATAGAGCCATTGACAGAATCTTTGGATTCAGTCAACAAGGAGTCTCTGTAATCGCACAATTTTCTTCACAAGGGATCACTCCAAGTATTCAATCTATCAATCTACAATGGCCACTATCAAGTTACATCAAATCAATGTCTAGGGTTTCAAATGCTTCAAGTTCTTCCCAAATAACTTCCCCTCTCTAGATGATTTTCCTTGATCGTATCTTTATGGTGATGATTCTCTCTCGATCGGATCGATGACCGCTCACTCTCTCCTTAGATCTCCATGCGAGTCTGATCCCCCCTCTCTGTAACACCCTCGTTTCCTTCCAGAAATTGAAGACCATTCTCTCTCAATCGTATCTTTATGGCGAAATTTAGACACAATAATCTCAACATAAAATTGGTAACTGAACTCCTCTTCACCTCTACCCTACTCCATCTACAATGATTCCTCACATTTACAAACCCTAGTCCAGTTGCGCTTCTAGCCTTGGTCCTTTTTCTTCATCCGTTCAGCAAATAAGGGGAACACGACCTTGATCAGATGGATTGGATAGAGAAGATAACAGGAGTTATTGCCTCGTTGCTAAGCTCTCAGGGTCCCGAGAGGGTGAGTAATCTAGTTCGACAGACATATGAAATTTTGAATATTGAATCTCTTGTGTTTATGTTTATGTTTTCAGTGTTTATCTGGTAGTCCTATGGGCAGTAGCCATCATCGATCCGCCAGTGATAGCCTATCCAAACCCCGGCCGCCTATAAGTCATTCGATGAAATGCCTAAGGCAATTAAGGTATTCATTCCAACTTATCTTTTCCCGATTCATGAGCTTATTATATGTGTTTTATCATCTATTTTCTTCAGGCATGCTTAACATGCTTTAGTTACCTTTTGATGTCTCAACAGAAGTAACATCGTACTCTGATGTTCATCTTTCTGGAACAATCGATACTAGAAAACTTGCTTCTGTTTTGGCTTCTACTAGTCTAGAAAACCAACATCAGGTATTATTCCTTATCACATGATTAATTTGTCAAGTAATATAGATTACTTTGTGAAGTATTTATGGTTCTTGGATTTCTCAAAATTGCAGTTCCTTAGGACATTCTTGTACCCTTTGGTGGAGCAAATTGAGCACTAGAATGCTACAAGTGTAACATATATGTTGCTTGATATGGACAATTATGAAGTGCTTTATTTTATTAAATCTACGAATGAGTTAATGAAGAAAGTTGGTGAGGTCATGGCCCTGCTCATTTCTGCATCTTACAGCTGATAAATGAATAAAAACTTCATTCTCACAATCCTCCAACGAAACCTCCATCAAAAAACTTAATATAAAATTGTATAGATAGTAAAATGAAGCGTGTAATTAGAATGATAGATGATTTCAAAAATACCATAAATAGTGGTCTATCATGTCCTCCATCCTGGATCTCTGAAATGTAGTAACACATATTTGTTGGATCTAAAATGCTAATGTACATAACCCTGCTCCTGAAACCTGTATAAAAAACACATACTATTTATGTATGTTTGCTTTTTATTTTTATTTTTATTTTTTTTATTTTTTTAGTTCTGAGTGCATGTTAAATATATTATACCTTTAGGGTAAATAACATGACTGATGATAGTGGAAAAACATATTATCCTCAGGTAACTCATCAAGACTTTCTTGTTTGATTAACTTTTCTTATCAAGATCAAACTGGTTGTTCCTGTTGTAAAATGATGATTCTTTCAAGTCAGGAAAGAAGTGTGTCAAGTTTATACACTTCGGCTGATAGGGGGCTTGGAGATCGGTTTGGAGGGCTCATCATTTAATTAAAACCAAAACCAAAACCACAATTTTCTTGATCAACAATCCAACCTTAACTTTTATTAGGTATATATTTCTTTAATTGGCATCATCTAATTAAGAAAGTAACATGCCAAGTAAAATACATAACACTAGATTCAGTAGAAGTTCATGTTGTGCTTAACCCCCATTCCATTAAAGTCACACATGTAAGGAAGGCCAAAACAGGAAAGGGTATTTTAGGTATTTTTTTGTCAAAAGTTGGAATTGCATGGATTTTAGTACCTGTAAGCGCATGATTAATTTCAGCTTCATTTTTTGTACTTCTTTAACATTCTGATCAAATTAATTTATTTGATTTGGAATTAATTTGGTATAAAATTAGGACTCGTGTCTTGCGACATATTGGTTCTGAGCTAAACTTAAAGATGAGGAAAGATGAGCTAAAGTTGAGGTAAAATTGTAATGGTGGGGCATATATTGGGATGGATTGCCACCTCTCTCCTTTTTTTAGCCTTCGAATCATGGCTTGTTGCTGAACACAAAAAGGTGAGATATAATATTACATTTCTAAATACACCCTTTATATTGTGTATGGTTCTAATGCTCTTGTTTTGATGCATCTGTAGAGAGGTTTTGAGCAACAATGGCTATCAATTACAATCTCCAAGGCAATATTTCTTGGGAATGGACTGGTTGCCATTTTAGCTAGTTTATTTGGAAATCTTTTAGTTGGTTCGTTGGCCATGGGAGCTATTGCTCCATTTGATGCAGCTTCAATCTTTCTTGCCATTGGAATGGCCATCATCATATCATCATGGACTGAAAATTATGGTGACTCATCAGAAAGCAAAGCTCTAATGACCTAATTCAGGGGTGCTGCTGTTGCAGTTGCATCAGGTCTCTCTCTCTCTCTCCCTCTCTCTCATACATATACAAGAGAAGCATGAAGAATCCAAAGTGGCAATCTTGTAATTCTGCATACATATCATTTTACCTTCTAAATTTGGACCTAATAGTTTTTTTTTTGACATTAACATACATAGGCACATTTCTTTTAGTGTAGATTTTGTCGAAGAGAAATGACAACAAAGAAGATAAGTATCTCTTGTTGTTTGTATATATACACTTTTTCTTCTTGTTTAATAACTTAAAAACTATATAAATGTGAAAATTGAAGGTCCACACACTGTTAAAAGGATTGGAAAAGATAGTTGCAAGTACAGATATTCCAATGTTACTCTATGACGACTTCAATTCAGTTCCAGGAAGGTATGTGTCATTTCTTCTACATTTGTTATGTGTGTTGTGTGGCCAACAAACATCTGTTTTCATTACTTTGGTGTATGTAATTATTGATCCACAGTAAGTCCATGGATTTACTGTGTTTTTGGATTGTCCTATAGGTAGCATCTGAGCTTCTGATTAATTTGGTGTACTATTTTGGCAGGTTGATCTCTATGGCCTGCTAGAAGGATTGGATATTGCAGTTAAGCATCTATCTAAGACTCCACGGCAAGGACTTGATGAATACAAGCTAGCAATGTTTTACTTGTTTTGGACATGAACAAGACTCAAGCAAAAGCAAGACTCATACTTTGGCATGGCTAGAAGCTTTGGAGGAAACAAGACTCAAGCAAAGCAAACACACACAGAGTTGTTAATTGGCACATAGTAAGCTAGATAATGCAATTGTATATAAATTCTAATTCTCTTGAGTTCATTTCTTTTATTACAATTACTCAATATTGGAATAATTATTTTTATTTGACATATTAGTGAAATGAATTATCTTTGTTATTTATGGTATTTTATTTTGTATTATGAGATTTTTAATGTATTATTTAATTTGAAAATTAGTAAATCAATAAAATAATATATTTTTTTAAAACATTTAAAGTTATGATACGCAAAAATGTGTGTCATCTTTATTTATGACATGGCCTTTCTTGATAGGGGCTTTCTTGATACGCATTGCGTGTCATTAACACGCGCGTCGTAAGGTTACGACACGCAAATGCGTGTCGTGTTCCTTTATGACAGGGCCTTCCTTGATACGCATTGCGTGTCGTAAACGCGCGACGTAATTGTGCGTCGTAAATGAGTGTTGTAAATACGCATAGTCTATAGACGACGTGCAAAAGCGCGTCGTCTCTCTTTATGACAGGGCCTTCCTTGATGCAGATTTGCGCGTCATCTGAGCCTTTTACGACGCGCAATGAGCGTCGTAAAAGGCTGTTTTTCTAGTAGTGAATACTCTTACATTTAAAATTGGTAAGTTGTGATGTTTTGTATAAAACAAAGACCAACTAAGGCCAATTGTGTGAAGTGTTTGTCTTGATTAAGAATCCACTCTATCTCTTGAATATTTGGCAAGAAAGTCTTATAAGTCAAGGAGACTGTAGGAGTCTAAAAGATCCTGAGAGGGTCTCAAGAAGTAATCAAGAATAAAACATGTATTTCATTACTAACACACATCTAGAGATTTATAACTTATCGTGTTGACATTTCTATGCCCATTCCAGTTAAGTTGGCTATACATTTGAGTTCTACATGTTCTCATTTGTTTGCATAGCTACTTGGAAGCAATGACATGCCCTTGAGCTGCCATGTGGCAAGAAGTTAAGATTACACAAGTTCAATCCATAGGAGTTAGGAATTGTCACTAACCTAGTCTTGTGATTATGGTTTGACAAATTCACATGGATAAGAACACATACACCATAAAATATAAGTGTCATAAGGGTTCTCTCCAATTCGTGAAAATGATGGTGAGGAAATTCTTTCACTAAGTATATTTTAAGTAGATAGAAATTGTGATATTTTCGGTTCTCAAGTCGTTAGTGAAGCGTGCATGATTAACCGGCACACTAACATTGACTTATGAGAAATGGAAAAAAGTCTAAACAATTGAGACTATGATTATGGCATCCCTTTGCATAGTTTTGAAAATGTTTAGACACACTTGTGAGCTATCTAAGACAAGGTATATGATTTTGATAAAGTCTTGTCAAATCAATCTAGTATCAGATCCGAGCTTTGGTAAGATTGTCAATAAAGTATTGACTTCTAGAGGTCCAACTATTTTCTGGATACATGTCAAAGCTAATGGGAGCATAACTGTTATGCTAATAATCATCATGTTAGTAGGAGCATGGTAATTATGATAAGTATTTCAAGTTAGCAATGTAAATTATAGAAAACAAAAGTTTCAATTTGTGAGGTTGCAGGGGTTGAAAAAGTTGTTTTGCTATAATTAAGGGAGAGGAAATTATACTTCATTTCAATTCTAAAAAGATTAGATTGAGTTTATAATCATTCTAAAGAGATTATATTGAGGTTTTAATCACCTTTAGTCAAGAATATATATATATATATATATATATATATATATATATATATATATATATATTGGATTGGTTCAACTTAAGAAAATTATACATATTGCATTCTCAAAATTCGATTATGATTATGACATCCCTTTTCATAGTCAAGTTTTGAGAATATGGCAAACAAAAATTATTATGGAAAAAGACTGGTCTAGAACCATGTCTTTATGTGAAACATCATGAATCATGTTCCATTTACTTTGGGTACAAGATCGATTACATGTGCTATAATATTTATCCTTTCTGAATTTTCCAAATACCTTGGGGGCATTAAGGGGAAAAATGTCTAGAATTGGATACGACTAAAGTGATTAAGAAACTATCGAGGACAATATAAGGTTTACCAAAGATTGGTTGCTCAAGGACAGTTGGAAGTATATTGTTAATATTGGAAGGACCATATTGACATAGTTTGACAAGAGGCAACTCTTGTTCAGAAGTGATAGTCAAAACGGGAATATAGAGTTGTCTTCATAGGTGGGAGAAATCTGTGTAATGTTAAAGAAACTTAATGCAAGAAGCATGTTTAAAGCAATGAACTTTGAATTTGAGACGTCATTTCCACGGAATTTCTCTCCATTGGAATACTTTTTAATTATTGTTGCCAAGCCTTTGTGGCTTTGTTCATAAGCATTACAAGAGGAACAATGCATGCATGTTTAAAATCCAAATAGATTTCGATAAATGATAGGAATTTGGAATTCTTACATTTAAGACAAGGATTTGGGAGTGTGAAAGAGAATCACTGAAATTATGTTCAATTGATCTAGTTCACAAAGAAAAGGATCATAGACAAACATAGAGTTCATACTTGGTGTATGGCAAAGCTATTGTTTAGAAAACATAGTGTACATGCTTGGAACATGGGACACCTAGTGTTTTAATTCAATTATGAAGTTGATAAAACCGAAAGAATGAATAATGAGTAATTAGTATGGTGATAAATAGAAAGTTTTTTTATTTATATTCATAGGTTTTGATACCATATTAGATTCATTTATTCTTGTGTTTCACTTTGCATGTTTTGACTTCCCTAATAACTAGGTTATTCTTTCAGAATGACTAAGTTATTCAAATCATCGACAGTCGGTCATATGTTGGAAGTAGATATGAATCAAGACTATCCTGGGTTGGCTTGTAGAGATCCAAGTTGGTGGACAAAGTTGTGCTACAACACTCATGAGTGCTCATAAGTTCTGAGTATTCGATTCAACCCGCACTCATTTGAATCACTTCATGGATTTTATCATGAGTGATCATCAGACAATAATATATTATATTATTCAAACCTAGAGATATGAGTTGTTACTATGAGTTGGTTGTGCATTGATTTTACGAAATCGCATTTGGTAACTCTATGTTATAAAACGTGCCATTGTCTATGATTCAACCAGGTAGTAGAATAAGCCATATGAGTCTAAGTTTATCCATTCCTTTTACCTTCGGGATAAAAGCGATATCTGTGGGCCCCTCGATGATTTAGTGATGACACATGTGAGTGCTTAGCCAAGCCAGGACTGATTTTGATTTGTTTAATCTATCAGTCATCATAAATCACAAATTAGGAAACAAAAGTTGGACTGAGAGAATGATTATAATCCATTTCTCAGTCCATATGATATCTAGAATACAGGAATATATGATCCCTTATCTAATGGACAAGTTCGTTGACAAGGTAAGAGTTCGACGGCGGCCTTTAAGAGCTACGATTGCCAGTTAGATGTTGAAGTCATACTCAATAATAGTTTTGGACTTATCTAAGTGGGAGATTGTTGGATTAATGCCTAAGTCCATAACTATAATTGGTATGTACTTGACCCGACCCGACATGGTGCATTTGGGTTGCACTTCACCCGAACAATTTATATGGATAATCCTTTAAGAATAGTATGCTTATGATTTATATTAATATATTATAAGTTCTAATATATTAATATATAATCATATTCTTTAATTAGTATTGTTCAAGAATTAATTTATAATTAATTAAGTAATCAAAAAGAACTAATTAAATATGGACTCTTAGATATATATGTGTAGTGGGCCAAGTTCATTTAGGTTGGGCTAAGTCTTCATGGATGGTCCATGTAGCTTTAACCCATGGATCCTAGGAAATGAAAGGTCATGGGTATTAGGGTTTAACCCTAATCCTCCACACTATATAAAGGGTCTTATGGTTCATGAAATGAAGCTAGTGGCTAGTGTGGATACACTAAAGAGGCCAATAACCGATTTCATAAGTGTGAGCCAAGTATCCATATTATCAAAAGTTTTCCAAGGTGTTTTGATGATTTGTGATTCCACTTGAGGCTTCCACACTATTGGGGCCAAGCTCTTAAAGTTTGAAGACATTAAGCTACATTAAAAGGTATGTCATCTAATTAGAACTTTGTAGTATAGGTGCTTTATAATATGCTAGTTAGGATGAAACCTTGGAATATTTAATATTTGCATGTATAATAGAGAAAACATAGATCCAA